ACACGGCCGGCTCATGTTCAGGTTTGCAGCCAGTGGGGTCAGGAAAAGGACCTGATGGTATTTTTAGCGTGGGGAATCGTTGCCAGCAGGAGCAGAAGAGCTGCGCCAGACCAAGGCAGTGGCAGAAACCGCTCCCCGCCCTCTCGTGCCAGGCTGTTGGCGGAGGTTGGTGACGTGGATGCGTGGGAGAGGGGGCCGGAACGTGTGCCCCTTCCCAGGGGACAGGCAGCGTGGGGACAGTGTCTCCCCAGGGGACAGAGCGAGGGTGAGGAGAACTCCGGAGGTGGTCTGAAGGGCCTGGCTGAGGGAGCAGGGTCTCCTGCCCAAGGTCCGGCGCAGGGCGACGATTTTCAGATCCTCTTTGTGGCCGGAGCGTAGCGTCCCGCCTGGTTTTTAGTGGTTTTGCTGCCACCAGGAGTTGACTTGGCTCTCGGAAGCGGGTGAAGCCCATCTCTTCCCCACCCTGGTTGCTTCTCGGGCTCCTCCTCGGTGATCGCGCGGGCGTTTTCCCGCGGGTGCTGCGCGCGGCAGCTTCACGTCGCTGTGAACGCCACCCGCCCGTGACCCTTCCCGTTTGTCTTGAGCTGCAGGAACGTGCGGCATGGCAGGAGCTCCCTTCCATGTTACCCCAAGCAGGATTTGGGGGGGTTTGTCCTTTTGAAGGCAGCAGAGGGGGGGTGTGCTATCCGCCGCTGTGAGGCACAGGGGGGTCTAGGGCAGTTCATCCGCCAATTGCCCGTTTCACGACAGGCCTCTTGCCCGCCTGGTCCTTCCTCAGCAGAGCTGGAAAAGGGGTACAGAGATCCCTGGAAGGAAAACAAGACCTGGAGAGCACACAGCAGGAGAAGGCAGGGAGATGTTTTTACACTGGTCCGTTTCTCCCCGTGTTTGTCCCAGGCTGTACCAGCTGTCCAAAGCGGGGAAGCTCTGTGTCCCAGCCATGAACGTCAACGACTCGGTCACGAAGCAGAAGTTCGACAACCTGTACTGCTGCAGAGAGTCCATCCTGGACGGGTACGTACGTGTCACCCCAGCAGGGCCGCGGCCCGTGCTGGGGTCGCGTTGGACCTCACCGGGAGCTGGGTCCGTGTGTCTGTCCTACGGCCGGGTTGATTCTTTTAGCTCGTTTGTTATTACCCCTGGTCCACCCGCCGTGGGTCGTAGAGGGGAAGCGGCAGGGGTTTTGGGGCAGCAGCTCTGGCTCTGCAGGTCAGCAGGTCCCAGCACCTCTCTGCACACGTCTGCGGGAAACCATTCATTTTGTCGTTGGAGAATGATCCGTAGCACCTCCAGAAGTCTGGATTCAGTATTTTTGACCCGGCTATGTGTAGGACTGGGCCACATCACTTAAATTCTGCTCCCGCTCCTCTTCTTTGTGGAAAGCACATCTCCTCTTTTCCCAGCGTGTCTGGAAGACACATGGGATGTCTTGTGAACCACCGCAGCCCGAAGCAGCGCTTGTCTTCCCTCCTGGGTGCGCGTGCCCGAAGCCGTGTGCATCCCGGCAGCTTCTCGTACTCCTGGGTGAGGACTTGGAAGTTCTCCCACGTGGCTCCAATTCTCCTTCCTCTCCCTCTGACCTTTGTGGCATCGGGATCCAACGCATCCGTGGCTGTTGCGCGTGTGTGAGTCAACCAGCTGCTCCATGGCAGCATCTTCTGCCTTCCTGGTTTCCTGGGTTTTATCCCCTCTTGGGAACACACGATACACCGAAAGAAAACGGAAAAACCAAGATTTATCCCGGAACAGTTGCGTGTCCAAAGCGTAGACCAAAGCCCGAGGGTTCAACCCTGTCCCTCAGCGGACAAATCGGTGCGGAAGGTGGGAATGACAGGGCTGGCGAATGCTTTATCCGCCTCTCCCCACCCCGCTCCTGCGGGATGTACAGCCACGTGCCGTACAAGCCCACGGGGAGGGTGTTTGCTTCCCTCTGTGCTTCTTCCCTGCAAAGCTCCTGGCAGCAGCTTGGCAGCATCCTGACCCTGCCGTGCTTTTTAGGATCGGACGGGCATCAGTCGCTGACGGACACGTGGGCAGCAGGAACACGACACGTCTTCTGAGGCTGTTGGTCTCGAGAGGCAAAATACGTGAAGTTGTGATCCAGAGAGGGTGTAAATCTCAGGGAGCTTTTTTTTTCTCTCTCTCTCCCTCTTTTTTTTTTTTTTTTAATTTGATGGAATTGGGTGTCCGATTTCCAGCACCTCCACCACCAAATTTTGGCAAAGCCAGGCAAGATTAGGACAAGTTTTATTCTCAGAGCTCAGACTCTGACACATGGCATCCAGTGGGGATCCCAGTAGAGAAGCAGGCAAGGAAGCAAGGACAAATTGGACTTTCTGGGCTAGCATCGACGCGGATGCCCAGCTTTCTTATAGCCCCCCAGGCACTGGAAGGGGCTCTGAGGTCTCCCCGGAGCTTCCCTTCTCCAGGCTGAACCCCCCAACTCCCCCAGCCTGTCCCCAGGGCAGAGGGGCTCCAGCCCTCGGAGCATCTCCGGGGCCTCCTCTCGCCTTGCTCCAACAGCTCCGTGTCCTCCTGCTGTTGGGGCCCAGAGCTGGAGCAGAACTGCAGGGGGTCCGTGTGGCAGTGCTGTTGGTGTTCTGCTGTGCTCCCGCTGCCAGCGGTTCTCGGAGCTGCAGTGGAGGTTTCCCTGGCAGTGGTGGACTCTGCTTTAACATCTTTCTCCCAGATCTTTGTGGGATACGTAATGGGGTGCCTCATTCGGCACCTCGGCTTTGAAGCATCTTCCGGGTAGGGATCATCTTCACCAGGAGACATGGAGACTGGTGTGTGTAACACCCTTGTGTCCACGTACAGGGGCATGAAAATGGTCCTGAAAATGTGTGTAAGTGCCACGGGACTTGGCAAACCACCAGATGGGCTTTGGATGATCCGCCCATGTGGTTCAAGGCCAGGCTGGATGAGGCTTGGAGCACCCTGGGCTATGGAAGGTGTCCCTGCCCATGGCAGGGGGTGGGGCTGGGGTGGCTTTGAGGCCCCTTCCCACCCAAACCATTCCATGAAAACATCTTGATGAAGTAATCCTAATTCCGTAGCCCTTTATTCTTTATTATGGCCACGTCTCGGGATGAAGGCAACCAGGCAGCCGCTGTCGTGGGGGTCGGCTGACCGGGTCAGGAGTTGCCCCCAGCTTTTGAGTGCCCAAGGACAGACATTCCACCTCCGTGTTCCATGTGTAGCGGACGCTCTCAGTGCCTCAGGGCTGTTAAACTCCTTACACTCTTCTTCACCTCGTCATCTTCCGTTGGGGCAGATGCTGGACCTCAGGGCGGGTAAGTTGGGATTTCAGTCTGGCCCAGGCATCCAAAACTGGGCCGAGGGAAATCTGAGCAGGGGTGCAATTAAATCTGCAGTGGCTTTTATCTGAGTTCTCCGGGAGATGGGTGGGAATTTCACCTTCCCTGCACTGCTAACCTAGTTACTCCGCTGCTAAAAATAGCCCCTGATGTAGGACACTCTTAGGGAGAAACAGAAGGAGACAGAGTGGAAGGGACAGCTTTGTCTGTGGAAAGCACCGGGATTCTGGCAGTAATCCAGCCCTGTCCTCCTCCTTCTGTACTTACTTCTGGGGGTATTTTGACTTACAAAACAAAAACACTAAATATTTGAACTAATTCTGGAGTAACAAAACCCCAAAAAAGGGATCCAAGACCCCCAATCCTGCCTCTTTGTCGCCTTTCACTGGTAGCACCCACCCTTGCCCGAGGGAAGGGTCAGGTTTTGGATGCCGTTCGGGTCCTCCCTGCACCCGGAATCGCTGTGTCCTCACGGCCCCCGTGCTGGGGGGCAGCAAACCCAGAAGGACCGCCGTCCCTCGCAGCGTCGGGGTGGAATGGCTCTTACTGCAGGTCTCTAATTGGGTTCTTTCCCGTTTTCCTTAGCCTTAAGAGGACGACGGACATGATGTTTGGAGGAAAGCAGGTCGTGGTTTGCGGCTACGGGGAGGTAAGGGGTCCGTGTTGGACGTGCGGGTGCGGCAGCGCGTCCTTCGCACGGCGTTATCCGACGGTGCTTTTCCGGCCGCGTGGCTTTTCCCTGCGTCGTCAAACCCGAGGGGTTTGCCGGGGCCGAAGATCTGCTGGATTTCTTGAGTATTAAACAGATCACCTGATATGCTAAAGGGAGACAGAATTTTAAAATACAAGAGGTTCTGAGTGTCTTTCACATCTAAACGTTCAAATGGCCAGATGTTGGTATGTTCTACATTAGTAGCATATTTACAGGCTGCATTTCCATTATATATTATATTCTCGTGGCATTTATACCTTCATTTCCATTATATATTATATCCTCTTTAACCCAGAGAGCTATTTCTGGTGTTTCTCTGACATGAACCTCTTCGGAGGCCGGTGCTGCGGACGCGCCGCGCAGCTGCGGCGTTGCCTGCCCAAGCGCCATCAGGAAAGAGAAGTTGATTTTGACTTATCCCTGTGCTTTCACCCCCAAACCGAGGGACCCTCTCTCCAGGCGAGACTGGGGTACTCACCCTTCGGCAGTTCTCGGCACCGTTTAACGCCAGTTCTGCTGGCCCGTGCTGGGGCTGCTCTAGTGGGATTCTCTGCTTTTTTAACAAAAAGCTGAAATCGGACAAATTTCTCACGTGAAGTTGCATTTTTGGGGCAACCTTGGTCACTCCGCTGTTCCCGAGTCGCCCTGCGAGCTGCGCACAGTGTTGCGGAAAGGGTGCAGTTCGTTAACCCCCGGAGGTTAAATCATTAAGCTTCCTAACGGGGGTAAAGGTTACAAGAGACTCTTAACCGTTCCCTGAGATAAGCATCATCTCCCGTTACCGTGGTGCTCTCTCCATACCGGGATGTTTGGGTGGGAAAAAGACCTCCCCGGGACGGAAATCAACAGCACTTTGCTGGTTTTTAGTACCGCTCTTAGCTAAGACCTGGCTCAGGCCCTAGATCGCTCCCAAGGCAGGAATTCCTGCACCCCAAAACGGCGTGTCAGCCACCCGAGTTGCTCAGGGGGTTGCAGAGGTCCCCTGGGGCCGCAGAAGAGACGCTCGGGGTTGTAAGTCCCCTACAAGCTCCCCGCGGCCGCAGCCGCGCTCGGCGTCTCCCGAGCTCTCGGCGTCTCCCTCCTGCTCCGTGCTCTTCTCCCTCCGCAGGTTGGAAAGGGCTGCTGTGCTGCTCTGAAGGCCATGGGCTCCATAGTCTACGTGACAGAGATCGACCCGATCTGCGCCCTCCAGGCCTGGTAAGCAGTCGCACCGAGCCCGCCGTCTTCTTTAGGCTGTTCCTCTTTTCCCCAGGAAAACCGGGACCAGAGGCCGCTCGGCAGCCATCCTTCCCGAGGGGGACGCTGGTGAGGGGGTTGTGGCTTCTCAGCACCCTCGGAGGGACCCTCAGCTCTCTCCTACAGCCGGGAAAGGGTTCCTGCACTAAAGCATGCCCCAGTTTATCTGTATCCCACGTGCCAGCTCGCATAATCCTAACCACAGTGGCCGCGGTTCAGTTGGGAAGGATGTTCGGAGCGAACCACGGCCTTTGGAGAGCAAACTCGGGCTTCACCATGCACACACCTCACCCGAGGCACGTTTTGGTTTCTGTCATCACCGCAAAGTTCCTCCCTGCCATGGGGCTGGAAGCGCCCGGCTCTCCCCTCGCACAGGCACGTGGCGCCCGACCTCGTTTCCTCCGGGCAAAGGCTGTTTTGGTGCAGAGCTGCTGCTTCTGCGTCCCGAGGCGCGAGATGAGGCTCGACGGGGAAAGCAGAATCCCAAAACCACCCAGAGCCTTAAACCCTCAGCCTCTGGCAGCAAGCTTTCCACGGGCTGTTGCGGTGAGGGAACTGATGAGCCCTGCTTCATTAGCAAAGCTGATCAACTTGCAGTTTGCCTGGTGACCTTTGCAAGCGCCGCATCCGGCACCCGCGTCCTTAACTGTGAGTTTGGTGGTGTGCAGCAACCCCTTCCCCGACTCTGCACAAGGCAACGCTGCGGCCCCTCTCCTAAGGAGGAAAAAACCCCAGTAAATGGGACATACAGCAGAAAAAAGTGACTTTTTTTTATAGTAACTACGATTTTGCAGCTTGTGAGAGTCACAGAAGTAAGTTCTCGGGGCGACTGTCAACGGATCCTAAAAAACCATCCTGGCCCTGTTACCCGCTGTGCTGGATGCACCTGGCTGGGCGAAGGCGGGAGAGACTTGCGGAGCGCTCAGCACCTCCGAAGGTCGCCTGGGTGCCTGAGTAGGGGTTGCAAAGCGAAGGGCAGGCATCTGTGGGTTTGGGGGGATTTGGGTCGGTTTTAAGATGCTATAAACCCGTCCCAGCAAGGATTCTGCAGCAGGAGGGTGCTGGGTGTACCTGGCAGGAGTGGGAGCTTTCAAAAAGCCAGCTCCCGTGAAGAAAGGAGGTTGGCAGAGGTGGAGGCTTTGACAGAAAACGTGAAACCCCCAAAATCTCTTTTCGCTTCTCCCCACAACCATCCCAAATCCTGCAGGTTGACTCCAAAAGCCCCCCCTGATGGCGGGGGGTGCACGCTCCTTTGCATAATGCCTTGCTGTTCCACTCTCTGGCGCTAGGAAGTTGGAATGAGTATCCCGGAATCAATTGGTGGTTTTTTTTTTTCCTATTTTTGGCCTGGTTTTGCTGCTTCTCAGACTATTTCCCCTCTCCTCTCCTCTTAGCATGGATGGATTCCGGCTCGTGAAACTCAACGAAGTCATCAGACAAGTTGACATCGTCATCACCTGCACAGGTACGCGGCCCCCCCAGGCAGGAGGGCGGGGCGTCAGGGGTGCGCTCCCTGTGGTCGGGCCCATCTTTTTCCAAAGGAAAGGGCGAAAAAACAGGGAAAAGCGCACAGGGATATTCATCATGGATATCTCTGACAGGCAACAAGAACGTGGTGACCAGGGAACATCTGGACCGGATGAAGAACAGCTGCATTGTCTGCAACATGGGACACTCCAACACCGAGATTGACGTGGTGAGCGCAGGGATGGGAGCGGGGACGGCACGGGGCGGGGGGGACGGCGCGCTTGGGACCCTTCGGCAGCGGCGTCTGACCCGGTGCCGCTCGACGAAGCCCCTGGGAGGAGGTAAAATAATCCCATCGCCCCCACGGCTCAGCAGATGCTGGCAGAGGTGTCATCCCCATGATCCCGAAGGACGCCAGCGTGCCAAAGTGCTCCAGCGTCCAGCGCCTGGTACCCACCAGCCTCATTCCTTCCCCGGGAGAGTCAGTGAATCCCCCTCTCCAGCCCACTCCTGCTTCCCTGCTGCGCCGTTAAGGCCCAGCCAGGAGTTCCGCTTGGCGCACGCTCCGCCGCCCCGCACTGAGCAGTGCTGAAATCGGCTGGAGGGTGCTTAGGGAGAAGGAAGAAACCCGGAGAACCTTGGCTGAAGGTCAGGGGAGAGTCGCTCGCCCAAACCCGGGGCTTTAAAGCCCTTTTCCATGCTGCTGAGCCCACCTGGATGGGAGGGAATGACCGCAGCCGCGCAGCCGGCGGCCACGGATCCTCTGCAGCCTGAAGAGCTCCCACAGTAACTTGTTGGAGCTTTGAGGTGTGACCATCCTAAAAATAGGTCCAGGTTATGATTCATAAAGGTTTCGTTAGTCTGTGACTGCGGCCGGACCCGGAGGAAGCTGTAAACCCAGGACAGTGTCAGCAAGTTGCTTCACCTTTTCCTTCCTACGACGTAGCTTCTGGTTTCTGATCTTTTGCCGCTGCTTTAACCGCCCCAACGCCGCGTTTCAGGCGAGCCTGCGGACACCCGAGCTGACCTGGGAGAGGGTGAGGTCCCAGGTGGACCACGTCATCTGGCCGGACGGGAAGAGAATAGTCCTGCTGGCGGAGGTGAGTGGCGGGGCTTGCGACGCGTTGGCTGCGTGGGGAGGAGGAAAACGGGGGTCGGGTGAGCGGTGGAGCCAAAGCGCGTCCGGAAGTCGCCTCCTTGGGCCTCAGCAGCTCAACGGTCCCTCTGGTTGAAAGGCTGGGTGCCACCTGCTGTGGCCGACGAGGTGCTGGAACGCAGGAGAGCTCCTGTGTTTGTCTTTATCCCACCCCAGGGTATCTCCCACAGGGTATTTCATCAGATTTTCACTTCTAAAATGTTTTGTTGTTATGGAGATGCCCAGTATCTCAGGATGGATGTGCATGTGATAAATCCTGTTCCGTCCCAGGCGGGACGTGTTTCACCAGCGATGCTGCAGTTCTGTAAACTGGTTTTGGTGCCGTGTTGAGATCACAGAATCATGGAATGGTT